ATTACAGCTACTATTCAACATATCTCAAACAAAAAATTTATTATTTATAACTTTCAACACAACTTTTTTTCTAAGTTATTCAAATTATACTTAGGACTTAAAAAACTAAAAAACATTATTAGACAGATTAAAGCTTTAATTCACAAATACATTTTTATACTTCACAATTAAGATATTTATTAACTTAACTCTTTTTATAATCTCAATATATCTGAACTGCTTTAGAACTCTAATCTTTTATTTAATTAAATAACTACAACTAATACTAAATAAAAAATATTTTATTATGCTCAAAACTTAAAAAATATTAAAAACATAAAAGAACAAATTAATAACAATATAGCTAAAAAGTATACTAAACTTCAAAATAGTTTAACATTAATAATTAATAGTATACTTAATTAGTACAAAGATTCTGTTAAGTTTAACAATATTAAAGAACTGAATAACATTATTACTAAACTATTGCTTATTAAATAGCATATTTAACAACATTTTGATAATTAGACAGCTTTTAGAAACATCCAATTACAATTATTTAATACAATATAATAGCAAGAATACTAACTTAAACCTAATATTAATTCTATATAATATCAACTAGCACTTAAGAAAATTTCTTTTATATAAGTTTTTGAAACTATTAATTAACTACTTAATAACAAAGCATATAGACTATTAGGCATTAGCTATAAAATGCTTAAACATACTAAAACTGTATTTCTTGACATAATGACAGCTTTTTTTAATTATTATTTTATATTTGGTCAAATCATAAATCAATAAAAAGAAGAAAAATTTTTTTTATTTCTAAAAAATCTATCTTTGATAACAATTTAACTAATATTAAACCTATTAGTTTGCTTAAACATATAAAAAAACTCTATGTAAAACTTCTTACTAACTAACTTAATTACATCTTTATCTATCATAAAATCTTATTACTTTTTAACTATATAGTTTGACTTGGTAATAGCATAACTATCTCTATATATATACTTAATAATATTATTAAAGAAGCTTTCTGTAACTTAAAACAACTTTGGCTTTTATCTCAGAACATAAGCAAAGCTTATAATTCTGTATACCTTACACTTTTTACCAAATCTCTATTATGTCTACAAATGCTATCTAATCTTATTAATATTCTTACTAACTTGCTTACTAATCAACATAATTAAATTATTACAAATTTAGATTTTATTAACTTCTATAATTTAAAAAATAATATTAATCAAGAAGAAACTATAATTCTACTGTTCTGAAAAATTTATTATAACTTTCTTATAAACACAATAGCCTTAGACTTTTCAGAATACATTCTGGTCACAAAATAGAATACTAGTTTGCTTTGGCCAAAGTTTCTACAACTCCAAACTTCTGTATCTGTATTAGCATATATAAATGACATATTTTTTATTGCCAAATCCAAATAAGAATTACAATTATGTTAGTAACAATTGTTGTAATATGAATATTACATAGATGATTATCCAAATTTTCACCATCGATGGGATTTGACAATTATTGGTATAGTTACTTTTTTTTTATTATATAGATAATATTCAAATTAATCTAACCAAATCAATTCTTATCTTAAATACACTATTTATAGTTTTTATTCACTTCTTTAGCTTATCATTCATACTAATTTTTGTCAACCAATTATTTAAACTTTTAGAATGTTAGTTTACCTTTAATAATTTATATATAAAACAAAACCAACTAATTTATAATGAAACAATCCAACTTATCAATATTACAAACATCAAAAAAATTATAAACAAACAAGTCATATATATTATCAATACTGTAATTATTCTTATTATCAAATATAGACTACATAATATTATTATTAAGCACTCTATTTGTAATAAACTTTTATTTAAATATCTTACTATAATCAAATACAAAGCTAAACTTTTCCATATTAGCTTCAAAAGCACTATGCTAAATTCTTAAGTTTAGCAGATATTTTTGTCTGTATAGTAGTTTAATGATATGCTTTAACCACAAGTGATTGCTAAGATAACTGCATGCAAGCATGCAGCAAACATACACTTAGAATCATATGGATAATCAAATGAAATTAGTAGTATAAAATTAAATAACAAATATAGTACTAATAATAAATAATTCTAAAACATGTAATTATAAATTTGTATTATATTAAATTAAGTTTAATAAACTAACAGACAGTGTCATCAAAGTTAAAAAAAAAAACAATTTGAAGATTTTGAAGGTTTTAGAGATATTAATAAAGGATTTTAAATTTCAAAAAAATTTTATATTTAATAAAAATAAACTTAAAAGATGTAAGATTTTTAAAAATTAAAAGTATTATTTGAAAACTATACAAAACTTTAACACTATATCTGAAGTATTTATTTTTAAATTTAATAATCATTTATTCAAATTGTAACTGAACATAAATTCTATTTATTACACTTTTAAACAATTTATGAAGTATAATAAACTGATTATTTTAACCTAAGAACTCTACTATAATAAAAGTAAAATATATAAATAATGATTTATTTAATTATCTTAAATCATAAATCTTAACCCAAATTGTTATAATTAATAATAATAACAAAAATACAAATTATAAAATAATTTTTGTTCAAGAATAAAGTTTTTAATAACTTTAACCAAAAATCTAATATTGGCATTAAACAAATAACAACAAATAATAATACTCTTACATTTGATTAAAATTCATTAGTACCTTCAATTAACATGATGTAGGAAAAACATTACTTTGCTTTTAATAAGACTTTAAAATATTTAAAGTAAAATTTACAAATCAAAATATGAATAATTAAATAACCAATTTGGAAAGTTTAAAATAAAATATTAAAGCAATACAAACAGAATATAAGTGACTTAGCTTTCTAGTTTCTAAGTTGATTGCCAAATAATCCAACTCCACATCTAAAACCACATCCAATATACAAAATTACATTCAAAGAAGAAAGTATTTTGAAAAAGCTTGAAGAATATAAAAATTCTATTGTTTAATCTAGAAAATTGCTAATAAAATTGTGAAAAATCTACCGTGGTTTGAGCATTGAACAGCAACCTGAATTTGAAATCAATAGTATAACCGATATAAGAGATCGAAATAAGCTTTAATATCTATAAACTAGAAGCAAAAATTATTATAAATTCTTATTGCTTGTTTAATACAAGCTTAAATATATAAAAAAAAATTAAAATATAGTTGTTTTGATAGTTCGTTATGTGCTAAAAAAAAAAAGAAAAGATCTACAATACTTTTAAAACATATCACCTTTTCAAAAATGCATTTTGCCGAAAGTACTCGTCTTTGCGCATCTAATAAACCACTTTTTAAGTTGAAAACTCGAAAACTGGAAAATAATCTAACGGAAGAAGACAAAATGACGGCCATTTTTAAAAGCATCTCACATTGTAGGAAGTAGGGATTGGAACCGTTTAACCGTTTAAAAATTGCTCCATAGTTCAGGGCAGAATTATGTTGGTCATGGGCCAGAATTATTTTAATGCCGGCCAAATTAAACGGTTAAACGGTTAAACGATTAAACGATTAAGTAAAATTTTAGGTGGTTCCAATCCTTAGTAGGAAGACGTTAAATATTCACATTTTCTATACTATTTGGTTCGTAGGAACCTCAGCAATAACTTTGCTTACGAAAGATTGTGTGTTTTAACTAAAACTTAAGACTAAAAACTTGATAATGTAAATTCGTCGATTTGTGTAATTTGTGATAAATTTTTATGTGTGACATATTGATCGACTGTTATATGTAAGATAAGTATGTAAGTTACAAACTTACGTAGATGCATTGTTTCAATATTTCATAGAAAAAACTTTGTACACATGTTTCTTGAGTGCTCTAACTTTGCAAGAAGCTTCTAATACTAAATAATAGATAAAATGCTTCTTTCAACTGAAATTACAGCTTTTTTAATCGAAAAAAGGTCGGAAAGCTTTTTTTTCATTGAATAAGGAAAAACTTCAAGTTTTAAAAAATCAAAATTACCTTCAGCCAATAGGATTGATGTGTTACACTGATGTACGGGATCTGCAAACAGGGGGCACAAATTCAAATTTCGTTCGCGAAAATTGATATCCACTATTTTATACAATGGAAAATGACAATTCTAGGGCAGCGGCAACTCTTCGACAAAGGTCTTTACTTTTTTGGTTAGATTTGAGTCAAAAAAAACCGAAGACGACAGCAAGACTTTATGAAAAGTAAGAAACTGTCGTTTGAAAAATGCTCATAAATTGACTCGACTATATTCTGATCAATTGTTGATCGAGCTTAATCAATAATCGAACATGATTTTGCATCATGTCTAATCGGTCAGATGGTTGAATTTGATCGATCAAGAAAATTTTCATAGAATACATTAGGCCATAGAAAATTAATTAATTGATTTTCATAACCCGGCCGGGTCAAAATTCGAAAACTTGTAAAAATTTTTTTTTTTGTTTTATTAACCGGGAAGGTTTTTTTTTTTAAAAAAAAAAATAAAATTTATATAAAAAAAAAAAGCCGGCCGGCCGGGTCCGTTTAAAAATTTGATGTGAAAAACCAAGAAATTAAATTTGTATGGCCTTATTATTTTACTTTAAAAAATTTTTTTTTAGTAGATAAGATATATCGATCAATTATTGACCTTATGATTGATCGATTATATATACTTGAACTTGTAAATTATGTGCTTACATAATTGGGTTTTGATCGATTAAGGGTAATCGAGCAATGTTTTTTTGTGTCGAGTCAATTCATTAATAGGAAGTTAACCTTTGTTTGACAAAGCTAATTATTGCAGTACAGTGATTCAAGGAAATTTTCAAGCAACAGACGCAATGGAATCTAAATTTCGGTTTGATAACTGGGAATCACCAGTTGGAATTTATGAACACGTAGTTATTCGTGGAACAGATGTAAGAGTATTAGAAATTGAATACTCGAAAGAATAATTTAATTGAAGGTAGACTTTATTCTTTATTCATCAGCAGAACTTTCACTATCTTCTTGCTCTTGCTGCTGCTGCACATCAATCCCTTTCTCTGCCATTCTTTTCTTTTTTTCTTCAAGTTTTTGTAACAGAGATTTCGCTGTATTGAATATACCATTAGTAGAAGCTCCACAAGCATAACATTTCGGACTTTTGGCAAAATTCTGTAATGCGCATTTTTCACAAAAATAGTGACCACATCTAGAATCAAAAAAAGTGTTATTTATATTATAATTTTTATTATTATAATAAAAATAAAAGTAATAATTTCAATCAGAAGCAAATTATCATCAATACGATTTGAACTCAGAGAGATTCCTATATTTGCATTTTAGGCATCATTGTATCATTTGCAATAATGAAAAAATATTACGTTAATACATACCTTGTAACCACTGGATTCTTATACTCTTGCCTACATATTATACAAGCGAAAGGCAATTCTTCATCGCTTTCATCACTACTTTCTATAAGAAATTCGCTTTTGTCTTGTCGAATTTTTCCTTGCATTTCTTCCCATTCTCTTTCTAATTGCCACCCAGACTTATAGTCACCTCTATCATGCAAGAATTTACATGAATCACCATAACCACAATAGCCAGTTTCTACAATTGAAATTAAAATTAAACAAAATAATAATATATAGTAAGAAAAAAAGCTATTTCAGACATTTACCTTTATAATCTTTACATATATCTGGTTGATAATCAAATCGCGAAGTGACACGAATATTTGTAGGTGCTCGAATTGGACCAGCCCTATAATAAAAATTAGTTTTTTAAATTGGATAAAATCGTGATATTTTATATTAAATATGATACGTACTTTATTTTTGAACTTGCGGCATTTCCTGCAGCGGTATCACGTTTTTTTATATATGTTTTATAAGCATTTTGTCCTTTATAAAGATCGTCATCAGCCTGAAAGGAAAGAAATATATGATTAATTACTAAAATATAGATTAAATAATTGGTAAATGAAAAAAATATAACAAACTTCTTCAGCAGCTAGTTTCTTTTCTAACAATGCTTGTGCATCACGATCGGTTTCCGTATCCCATTCTGCCTTTCGTGTAGCGATATCCTGAGATATTGACGATATGGCAGACTTACTTGCGGAAAATGTGACACTAATATCATCCGTATGTTTTCCTTTTTTTGTACCTTGTACAAAAGGATGTGAAGGATCTAATTTACGTTCTTTTGTTACTACCGCCGAGCCTTCAAAAATTTCTGAGGAAGCACCAGGCGACGGTGATTTCTTGCGTTTACGAACGTTTTTACCGCTTTTACTTTTCTTGAAGAAAGTAACATTAGATGTATCATCAGTCAAAGGAGTAATTGAATCGTCAGACATTTTTTTTTGTTATATTAGGATTAGAATTATTAACCGTAAAATTTTAACGGACTTTCATGCGAATCGTCGAGATCTGTGTAGCCTGAGCTTCCGGACCCAAGTAATTATGCCCGAAAATCTCGGTTTTACTTATTTACCCTCCATCGTCTTATAGGAGGAAATTCGTCTGATTGGCTAATGCAAATCAATTGCTCAGGTAACTTATTTATACACTTTAAAGTATTTTTTGGTAATACAACGTTTCACTAGTCGCAAAGATCATTCATAGCTTAGAATAGTATCAATATTTATTGTACAAATTGATCGGGAAAAGATCGTATCCCTTACCTACTTTGCTTAGAAGACAAAAATGCCTTCAATTAGTAGCATTACAGGGCTTTGTGTGATTACAATTTGCAAGAAACGGTCGTCTGAATGGAGAAGGTAACTCAAAATATTATTTTCAAAGGTCAAGCTAACGAGACTCTTCCGAATTATGAGTACATGCAATCCGGATAGTATATATTGGTTAGCATTTGTTGTATAACAAACACAAAAGCAATTATGAAAAAAATGTACAACTAGTTACTCATAATTTTAGTCATTGTCTAATTTAAGTAGTCTGTTCAAAGGTTCTACACTAGTTGTTATATCTAAGACTCATTTGTAGGTCTTCTATTTAAGGGTAGGGGACACGTAGATCATTTTTATATAGTTATGTATAGTATATTAAAATTTTTATCTAAAATTAATATATGCTATTAATAAAACTTTTTATTTAACCTCATCTTAAAAAAAAAAAAAAAAAAAAAAAATATATATATTTTATTTTTTTATTATTTAATAAAAAATATAATATATATATTTTTTTTATAGTTAAAGTTCTTATTTTGAAGATGCAACATTTTTATTCAAGTATATTAGGACATGACATGCCATCAGGGGCTCATCTTATATTGGAGGTTATAACTAACCACATATGCACTTTTGGTGTCTAATTTAAGTAGTTCACTTACATATTGCTATATAAGTTCTATACTAGTTGTTATACTTGCAAGCCAACTAAAGGTCTTGTTTATTTAAATCTTCTGCATATGCAATCCTTCTTGTATCATGAGAATATCTCAAGGTTATACCTATTCAAGTTCCTGATACTTGTTGTTACCCTTAGGACTAGTTTATTCTTAATAGAAAACTTACTAGAGTTTTTATATCTTACATATATAAACCTAGTTTTATGCAACATATTATAGTTATCTAATACTTACAATCATAGAGGTTATTTATTTAACCATTATGTTACACTATTTCTATCTTTGTAAAGTTCACTAGAACCCCAGTACCTATCTTTCTAGCATCTTCTTTATCATTCTTTACTAGTCACAACTCAAAACCATCAGTCTCATTTCAAACTACTAATCCAGATGACCTAGTATAATATACTTCTGTATTATTTTTCTTCAGTAAATCTGACAGTCTGATTGGTTATATGTTTTTCTAGACATATTTAAAAGTATTTTGTAGCCTTCAATTAGTTCAATGATACTATTGAAAATTCATGCTACCTTTTTACTTAAGAATTTTCAAATAGGTTTCCATTATCTCAGTTCTTTAGTCTTTTATTCCCAATGGTCTTATTATAGGTTTGTATTGAAGTTTTATGCAACACCAATTATACATTCCTTTATATACATGTAATATTATACTTTGCATAAATGTCTAAGCTTCTAATATCAGTAGGACCTGACTTGATGTACCTGAATTATAGCTATATGAGGCCAACTGATCAACAGGAAACAGTTATCATAATACAGATATAATTTCAAATTTCATTGTAACTGGAATTTAAATCTTAGACCTGTTACTTAGAGAATGACAATCCAACTATTACATTAGAATTATCATCTTCAAAACTTTATAATATTATAAATAAAATTATTTATTTATTATAATAAAATTTTGAAATATTAGGATATGGTGACCTAGTGAAGTGGTCTGGTTGTTAACCTCCAAGTGGCAGATCCACTCAGTATTAATAGAAAATTTGAAAATCTTCTCTGTATTATAGTTAACTGTCTTTTGTAATTGGTTGGAATAAGACACATGTTATCTATATCGTATCAGTATGACTGGCAGGTCACATGATATTTGTGTAACAGTCACATGACATTATCTTTTGAGACAAAGTCTGTAGTTACATGAAGGAATGCAAACTGGTATCAGGTGGTGTAAATCTATAATAAGTCTTTATAGCTATATAAATTATAGGAACCAAAAGAAGAAGATAGAAGCCCATTTAAAAGACCTAAGTAGAGATATAACTCAAGCTTTTGACAGTGCTATTGTAAAGACTAGACTTATAAAACAGAGCTAAAACTTGTAAAACTAGACAAATATGTCGGTTTTTGAAAAGGGATCAGATGAATCAACCAGGCTGCTAGAATTTCTGGGTTCTAAAGAAAAAGGGTATATGCCAGCAAACATGTAAACCAAAGGTGTATGGTTTTGGCCTATCTTTTCAGACTATCTGGAATAGCAGCTTGGTAGAACTTGAATTAAATACCAAAGTAATAAGGATATGTTGTGAAGTTAGTACTGAGATTAGGATAAACTCTACAAGAGCATAGTGGTTTAATAGTATGCCCTGACTACCAATGTTGGTCTTGGCTATAATGATACTAGGTCAGCTGTAAGAATGGGATACAGAAGTTTCTAAAAGGTTTAGTACAAGGTCAAAAGTTCTAAAGAATTGCTTTAAAGACTTAGTAGCCATAGCATATTTTCACCAATATCAGTCAGGATCATTAGTAAGCGAAGATAGATGAATGGATACAGAAACAGAATAGTTAAATAGAGAATCTACAAGTAGGTTTTAGGTATAGCAGCTAGTGTAGAACCTTTAGATGAACTACTTAAATTAGACAATAACTAAAGTTGTATGAGTGGCTAGTTGTATACTCTCTTTATAGCTGTCCTCTATAGTTGTAATGCAACTATTAGCCAAATATACTATCAATAAAATTCTGGGTCACAAGTACTTACCTTAATATTTAAAAAAAAAAAAAATTTTTAAAATATTATATTATTTTAAAAAAATATACTTGTATAGATAATAAAGTTTACTTAGGTAAGTTAAAATTTTTTTATATAGTACAAAAATAATAAATTTGATTAATTAATTTATATAAATCTATTAGTTAATTTTATTTTATAATTTTATATCCTAATCTTTAAAAATTTATATTTTAATAAGTTTTTAATCTATTTTAATAATTTTACTATCATTAAACTCAAAAAGATCTACTATACAACTTTTATTTAATGATTAAAATTAGTTTACTTAATATAAATTTTTATAAAATTAAATATAAAAAAAATTTACCAATAGATTTATATATAATTTTAAAATACTGCCTTTTATCCTTAAAGATAGGAAGCATGTTGATCATTTTTTATATGATCTGCATAGTATATCGAAATTTTATATAAATTATACAAGATGTTATTAATAAAAGTTTTTGAAACTACTATTATATTTTACTAAAATCTCATAACTGTAAATCAAAACCTTTATTAATTGTGATGAAATTTTTAGAGACAATAGTATTCTAGAAAAATATACTTGTATATGTTATAAAGTTTTCTTAAATTAACTCAAAATTTCTTAAGTAATACAAAAAAAAAATTGTTCTACTAGATTTCTAAAATAAAATAACCTACCCAATCATATTCAAGAAATTTTTAAATATTAACATAATTAATAGTATATATATATATATATATATATATAAAATAAGATTCTTAATATCTATTTTAAAAACTAAGAAAGGTTTAGTTATTTCAAAACTCAGTTTTAAATAAATTAACTTGATCTAATGATTTGTAAATTACAATTAACATAGATTCAACCACTAGTGCTAGTTCAGAGTTTGTTAAAAAAAACTTTTTCAGTAAAATGTTCATGAAAGTTAAATTTTTATTAAAATATATAATATTGCTAATATTTCAAAATTAATTAGTAAAAAAAGTTAACATAAGGATGTCAATATGTATATATACAAAAGCCACAGTATATAAATATATACAGTCAACTTTAGATTTAATGAACTCACAATTTTAAAATTTTTATAATACTTTGATATAGAAAGTGCAATAGGTCCTTAAAAAATCATAGTGTTACAATAGAAAGGCCTTCTTAACTTCCTACTATAACAATGACACAGCTACAAGGATCCTTTATAGATTTATAATAGTGTTCAAGAGAAAAGTATAGTTTTTTTAACTATTTAGTAACTAAACTTTTTTTTTTAACATATAAGCAGTCACATTAGTACTTTATTAAGCTTTTGAAATTACATTTGTAACTACATAAATATTCCTAATATCTAAGTCTAGCATCACTCAGTTACCTTAATGGTACCTAAGTGCAATCTGTTGCATTACTTCGAACAGAAGTAAGCTGCTTGTCTAACTACTTAAAGTCTGTAATAAAAGGGTTTTCTTTCTTTTATGATAAGCTTCAACATTGTTTTTATTATTTTTTTTCAACTTGCTTTTCTTTTTTTCTTATTTTTTTTTTTTTCTTTTCTATTTTCTCTTGATTTGCCTTTTCTCACTTTTTTGATTCTTTTAGCTTTCCATTTTTTTTTCTTTTAATTTACCTGTTATTTCAATTTTTTTTTCATATTCGATAATTTTTTTACAACATATTCTTCATACTTGTTTGTAAAATATTTTCAGGCTGTTATTGCTACTGTGTTTGCAAAATGTTGTTTTGATTTTGTATTTAAGAGCTGTGCTAGTTTGTCTTGTGTTTCTTTTAGGATTAGATCTTTTATTAGTGCTTCTCTTATTTTAACTTCTTCCAACTCTGTTTTTTCAAAGAGTGCCATATATAACACATATGTAAGAATCTGAATCTTTTTTTTTCTTTTAATTTCTTCTACACTGTTGCAATAATTACTTTTTGGATTTTTTTTCAAAGATTTTTTTGCCTCTTGCATGCTGCCAAGTATGCTTGT